GAGCAGCAAGTCAGAGAGCAAGGAAAATGTAGATCCAGATGACAATTTCAGAGGTGGAGCTGAGGAGAGAAACCATACTACCCCCACCAAAAATACCTCAACAACTTGATTAGAGATCTTGGTCTCACCAAGTCCAATGCCGAGCTTTTGACGTCTAGGCTCAAGCAGTGGAACTTGTTGGATGAAAGTGTGCAAGTCGCAGATCAGAGGAAGCATCACCAACCTTATTGCAGCTTCTTCACCCGTCAAGATGGGCTCTTCTGCCACAATGTGACCAGTCTGTTCGTGGCAATCAGAATCGCCTGTAACCAGAATGAGTGGCGCCTCTTCATTGACAGCTCATTCAGGAGCCTCAAAGCTGTGCTGCTCCCTAATGGTAACAAGTACACGTCTCTTCACCTGGCTCACTCGGTGCACCTCAAAGAGGATTACAACAGCATCAATACCTTGCTGGACGACTTGCAGTCTGATGAGTACGGCTGGGAGGTCATCGGAGACTTCAAAATGATGGCATTCCTGATGGGTCTCCAAGGAGGTTTTACCAAGTTTCCCTGCTATATTTGCCTTTGGAACAGCAGGGACAACCAAGGCGCACTACCACAGGCGGGACTGGCCACAGCAGATCGAGTTCTCTGTGGGGAGGAACAACGTCAAGTGGGAGCCATTGGTGGACCCCCGGAAGGTGCTGATGCCAATGCTGCACATCAAATTGGGCCTTATGAAACAATTTGTCAGAGCTGGAGATAAAGAGTCGTCAGCCTTCAAGTACCTTCAAGACTTCTTCACTAAGCTGTCTGAGGCAAAGGTCAAAGCCGGTGTCTTCATCGGATCACAGATAAAGATTATCCTGGAGTGCAATGAATCCCCCAAGAAGCTCACTAGCAAGGAGGAAGCGGCTTGGAACAGCTTTGTCGCACCGATTTTTTGTCTTTCTGGGCAAACACAAGGTCAAAAACTATGTGGAGCTGGTTGAGGCTGGTGAAGAACTACGGCACAATGGGCTGTAGGATGTCCCTCAAAGCCCATATCCTTTATGCCCATCTTGATAAATTCAAGGAGAACATGGGAGTGTACTCGTAGGATCAAGGCGAGCACTTCCACAAGGATTTACTGGATTTTAAATGCCGCTACCAAGCCCAGAGCCCCCACACCACTAACAACTCCCGCCTGGCCAACGACCTGAACGAGTTCTACTGCAGATTTGAAAGACAATTGGACTGTCCTGAACTACCCCTTCCCACCCAAGAGGCCCCCCCCTCCCCCCCACTACAGAGATGACTCTCTCAATTCAGGAGGGATAGGTTAACAGACTTTTCAAGAGGCAGAACTCCCGCAAAGCAGCTGGGCCAGACTCTGTCTCTCCAGCGACCCTCAAGCACTGCGCTGACCAGCTGTCTCCAGTGTTCACCAACATCTTAAACACCTCACTGGAGACATGCCATGTACCAGCCTGTCTCAAGTCCTCCACTATCATCCCTGTGCCCAAAAAGCTAAGGCCAACAGGACTTAATTATTATAGACCCGTCGCCCTAACCTCTGTGGTAATGAAGTCTTTTGAGCGCCTGGTGCTGGCACATCTCAAAGCTATCACAGACCCTCTCCTGGACCCCCTGCAGTTTGCCTACAGAGCCAACAGGTCTGTGGACGACGCAGTTAACATGGCCCTCCACTTCACCCTACAGCACCTGGACTCCCCAGCATCCTATGCCAGGATCCTGTTTGTGGACTTCAGCTCTGCTTTCAACACCATCATCCCTGCCCTGCTTCAGGATAAGCTCTCCCAGCTGAACGTGCCTGACTCCACCTGCAGGTGGATCACAGACTTCCTGTCTGACAGGAAGCAGTGCGTTAGGCTGGGAACACAAGTCTCTGACTCCCGGTCCATCAGCACCGGATCTCCTCAAGGCTGCGTCATTTCCCCTCTGCTCTTCTCCCTGTACACCAACAGCTGCACCTCCAGTCATCCGTCCGTCAAACTCTTGAAGTTTGCGGACGACACCACCCTCATTGGGCTCATCTCTGGTGGGGATGAGTCTGACTATAGGTGGGAAGCTGACAACCTGGTGACCTGGTGTAGCCAGAACAACTTAGAGCGTAATGCTCTTAAGACAGTGGAGATGGTTGTGGACTTCAGGAAGAATACAGCCCCACTCACCCCCATCACCCTGTGCGACTCCCCAGTGAACACTGTGGAGTCCTTCCGCTTTCTGGGTACTATCCTCTCCCAGGACCTCAAGTGGGAACTGAACATCAGCTCCCTCATAAAGAGATCACAACAGAGGATGTCCTTCCTACGGCAGCTGAAGAAATTCGACCTGCCAAAGACAATGATGGTGCATTTCTACACAGCCATCATTGAGTCCATCCTCACCTCCTCCATCACCATCTGATACGCTGCTGCCACTGCCAAGGACAAAAGCAGACTGCAGCGTATCGTCCGCACTGCTGAGAAGGTGATTGGCTGCAATCTGCCCACCCTAGAGGACCTGCACACCTCGAGGACCCTGAGGCGAGCGAGGAAGATTGTGGCCGACTCCTCCCACCCTGGACACTCTCTGCTTCAGCTACTCCCCTCCGGCAGAAGGCTTCGGTCTATCAGGACCAAAACCTCACGCCACAAAAACAGTTTCTTCCCATCCGCTGCTGGCCTCTTCAACAAGGCCAATGGCTCACACTGACTTTAACAATTTATCTGCATAATGACACCTTGCCATGGAAGCGAGGCGGTTGAGCTTTTCCATCAGAGCAACATGACGTCCTTCCAACACCAGTTAATCTTAACCAATGGTATGGTGAAGATCCGGACTGTGCCCTCTGTTCCATGCCAGCCAACCTCAGGCACATTCTCACAGGGTATAAAACAAGCCTCACCCAAGGACGCTACACTTGGCGTCACAACCAAGTCCTTAAAAACCTTGCGTCCGCCCTGGAGGACAAGCGAGCTGCCACCAACTCCCTACCACCCCCAGCAGCATCACACCCCTTACGGACGACCTTTGTCCGCGAAGGGGCTAAACCACCGAAGAGCGGCTCTACACCATTAGAGCGAGACCAGCTGCGCTTGGCCCGCGACTGGAAAATGCTAGCTGACATTGGCCGACAACTTGTGTTTCCTCCAGAGATCGCAACCACCACCCTAAGACCTGACATGGTGCTCTGGTCCCGTTCGCTCAAGAAGGTCTTCATCATTGAGCTCACAGTACCCTGGGAAGACTCAGTAGATGAGGCTTATGAGCGAAAACATCTGCGCTATGCCGATCTAGCTGCTGAAGCACGGCATCATGGCTGGAACACAGAAGTCCGACCAGTGGAGGTGGGCTGCAGAGGTTTTGTGGCAACATCTACAACCAGACTGCTTAGAGACCTGGGAATTAAGGGCCAGAGCCAGTGTTCGGCAATCAGAGCTGTATCGGAGGCGGCAGAAGGCAGCAGTCAGTGGCTCTGGATGAAGAGGAAAGACCCCAGCTGGGCCCCAAAGTGAGAGGGCCGGGAGGTATGCAGTCAACAATGCTTGACTCAGGGAGGAGGACACCCCTGCCATGCATAGTCCCATGGGATGTTGGCTATCAATAACAAGGCAACTACTATGACTAATTGGGAATGGGACGCAAGCGTAGGATTGATCACCCTGTCGCTGGCCGCCTTTGGGGAGGGTGTATAGTATGAAAGGCCGAAACACCCTAGGAACCAAAGGTTCACTACTGACGATGCGCTCCCCAAATTTCACCAGGCTCACTGTTCATGAACTCTTGGAAGTGCTTGCACAATGGATAGTAACATATCATCCTGTGTTCTTTGGAATCGTATTTCTGTATGTTTATATTGTATATTATAGCTATTTTATATTATATATTTTATTTTATTCAAAACCTTTACATACTTTAGCCCCTTAGTATTAGTTAGACTTTGTACCTTTAGTATAGTTAGACTTGTGCACGATTTATTTAAGATTTAAGATTCCTATATGTTGAATGTATGCACCTTCCTGCCAAAGTAAATTCCTTGTCTGTGCGAATTTTCATGGCGAATAGAACCCTGATTCTGATGAACATCTGGAAAATTCGCCAGCATTGCACCTCCAATAAGCATGGTTGGCTACGTACGTTGGCTATGTACGATACGAAATAAGTTCAACAATCATACATTGCTTCACGCGAGCCTGACTCTGCTGCTGATGAGACACTGTTGCTTGCGTTGAACTAAATGCCGCTTCAATTAGGCACTCCCAAAAGGCCGTGCCTGCAAATAATGTGGTGACTAAAACGATACGTGGTGTGTATTATGTCTTTAATGTTTCTTGTGGAGATAAGGGATTTGCGAAGGAGGAAGGGAGATGATGATGATGATGGCGGTGACGATAGTAATGGTGATGGTAATGATGATGGCGATGATTGTGACGAAGGTGGTAGTGGTAGTAATAATGGTGATGAGGTGATGATGGTTTTCACGGTGATAGTGATGGTGGTGATGATGATGTTGGTGATGATGATTATGGTGGTTTGTGTGGTATTGATGATCATGATGATGGTAATGATGATGATGATTGTGATTATTGTGATGATGTTGGTGGTGATGGTGATTATGTTGGTTTTGGTGGTTTTGAAAGTAATCATGGTGATGGTGTATGATGATAGTGATGGTGGTGGTGATAATGCTGTTGGTGATGATGTTGATGATAGTGATGATGGGATGATGATGGGGTGATGATGGTGAATCGCAGGGATTAGGAGGCGTGGTGACGCGAGCAAGCACTGCAGGTGAAGGAGCGGCCACACAGACTCTGGGGCTGCGCTGATTCCCCACTCAGATTTAATTCAAATCCCTCAAACTTCCACACCGGCGATTTGTACTGCACCAGCGACATCACTCACGCACACCAACCTGAACCTTACTCTCCCCTTCCATGCTCACCTCACTCCTCAATTTTAAGCTCACCCTCCCATCAGCCCACCCTCCCCTAACCCTCACCTTACCTCACCCTCCCCTAACGCTCAACTTCCCTCACCCTCCGTTCCACCTTCCCCTCACTATCACTTCGCCCTCTCTTCACTATCCCCCCTCTCTTCTGTTTCTTGGGTTTCTGTCTCGGTTTCTTGGGTTTCTGTCTCGATTTATTGGGTTTCTATCTATCCTCATCCTCAGGATGCACGATTCAGATCCACGATCTTCAATGGTTCATTAAAACGCCACACCCACATCCCAGGGTAGAGAGGCTGCAAGAATCTCTGCCTAACCTCGTGGATCACCTCCATGGAGTCGGCGCGGTGAAACGCCAGGAGCCCCCCCTCCCAGTGCAGGTGAAGACCGATTCTGCAGGGGGAGGGGGCCCCCCTCACCGACAGTGCAGTCTTCACTCCACCATGAAACACTGAGAAGTTGTCATCACATTTCTCTAAACACCAGGACGCGTTGCTCCCTCCCAGCCGCTGTGCAGCACCACTCCCTTTCCGTGGGATCGTCCCGTACACAAATCCCACCCGCCACCACTCCACGTCCCCCACGTCCACCTCCCAGTAGTGGTGGCCCGACGAGAAGCTCTCACAGCACAGGGCTTGTGCAAAGCTATTAAACCGGTGTAGGTGATAGGGGCGACCCTGGGCGCCACCGGTCAGCGTCATCGTCCTGAGATCCGAGGAGATCTGGAGGTAGTTATGAGCTGAGTTTGTGTCCAGAGTCGGTGAGCATCCGTCTGTGACAACAGCGATGACAACATCACTACAGAACACTGTCATCACAATCATCCACCATCACCAACATCAACATTACCATCACCAACCATTATCTTTACCATCAACAATAACATCACAAACATACACATCACCAAGCATCCTCGTCATCAATATCATCGATGACAACAACATATACATCACCATCACCCACATCATCAACACTATGAACATCAACAACATCACTATCGCAATAAGCACCACCACTAGGACCATCACAAACAATCACCACCATCACTACCATCACCACTATTCCCATCACCACCATCTTCATCACTATCACCAAAATAACCAACACGACCAGCATCAACATAACCAATATCATCATTACTACGACCATCAGCGACATCAGCAAAACCATCACAACCATCACCACCTATATTATCTCCAATGTCACCATCATTACCATCACGACCATCACTGACATCACGAACAACACCATCACCAATGCTATCACCATTCCCATCACTCACATCACTAACAGCATAATTACGACCATCCTCATCACGACCACTATCACCATCATTATGACCATTACCAGCATAAGGAACTCATTTGAGGTTGAAACTGCCTCGCAGAGGCCCAGAACTGAATCAGGTATCACCTGCCACTGATGTTAGCCATGGCGGGTAATCAAACCCAGGTAACTGGGTTCGTAGTGCAACGTGGTAACCACTATGCCACCGCTCCCCTATGCACAAATGCACAGACACATTCACAGGCACACACTGCATCTCAACATCACAATTACCTCTGGCTCGTAATGCTGATTATTTACCCAAGAACACCACACTGAGTCTCATAGTGTTGTTCAATAGGGTCCTGCAATGGGATGTGAACAAAGACAAAGATCCCCTGTGTAGCCTTCACAGACAATTGGGACAAGTGCTGTCCGTGAGAGTCTATGAAGGCTGGCATGGCACACGAGGTGAATGGCCAGCACCACGCCCATCCACCTTGGTCTCCTAGTGGCGAGTTTGTTTACACACCGCATCAGGTTCCAGGATGTAAACAAAGACATCCCCCGTGTAGCCTTTACAGACTGTGGGGGTAAATAAGCACCGTTGAAGGCTGGCACGACACACGAAGGGGTGGGTAGCCAGCACTACGCCTGGCCGCCTTTGTCTCCCTAGTGGTGATGTTAATAAAATACCAGGTAATTATTTGAGTCTGAGTCGACCTCGTGCACACACATGGGGATAATTTATTGTCAAGATGGCCCCATCACCCATGATTCACACTGAAGAACTCACACAGGAGTTTGACTCCAGTTGTCTCCAGGACTTTCAGTGAGGCAATGTCCTCTTGGGTGGGAGCTGAGGGTGGATCTGCTGTAACCCTCCCTGTCCTGTGAAAGCAGAACAGACATGGCTACTGTCTCACGCAGAGCATCGTCACTCACAGGATCATCACAGCTCCATCTCACAGGCACTCATTAAACAAAGCATAATCACTCATCTCACAATTACAGAATCACCACACAGAATTACTATTACCACATACAGCATAACCACGCACGGTATCAAAACACAGCTTCATCACACATAGCATAATCACACAGCATTACCACACAGCATTACCACACACAGCCTTATCACACAGCATCACCACACAGAGCTTCACCACATACGGCACCATCACAGAGCATTCACTACACACAACATCCCCACACAGCCAATGTCTCACTGCCCGCACCCCACACTCAGTCCCATGTTGTCGTGTGTCGAGTCGTGAGTGATAGTCGTCTTTACCTGCAAGTCTCCTCCAGGTGCCCCTATGGGAGAAAGAGAGATGCGTTACTGTGACTCTACCTCCAATCCCTTGTGATCAGTGGAGTTCCCACTGCAACACCGTGGGTGGAATGTAAACTCCAAAGTATTTGCTTATGACCCCATGATCACCAACACTGACTTACGGGGCAAATATTTCAGTGAGACCAGTTGAAAGTCAACTATAAACTACTATCTTCTTGGTTCTTTCGTAAAGTCACGTAGACGGAAAATAATACAAATTAAACATAATAAAATAATTCTCACGACGTTTCGGCCACAACGCAAGCAGCCGTCTTTAGGTGGAGAACAGGTCTGTCGAGAGAAGAGTCTGAATGGCACGCCCCAGGCGTGGAGCGACTATTTATGCTGGGATGGAGGGGCGAAGAGCGTCTTGACAAAATAATTTGCATATCAAGAGGAATTCGTTTAGCATTAGAATAAGTTACAGCAGTAGAGGTTAGTGTAAATGTGATTGTTATTACCTTAGAGTCGCGGCATCTCTTCAGAAAGGCGAGAGACTCGATTAGCTGAGCCTTCTTATACCGGAGCTTGTTGAAGCATTTTAAAGTTTTGTGGAAACCCACCCCTTAGTGGAGGTTAAATTTCGATTTAAAGCTTTCGTGACTGCAGGGATTTATCTTCTTGTTTCTTTCGGTAAAGTCACGTAGAAGGAAATGCGATTGGTATTACCAATCGCATTTACACTAACCTCTGCTGATGTAACGTCTTCTAATGCTAAACGAATTCCTCTTGATATGCAAATTTTTTTGTCAAGACGCTCTTCGCCCCTCCATCCCAGCATAAATAGTCGCTCCACGCCTGGGGCGTGCCATTCAGACTCTGTCTCTCGACAGACCTGTTCTCCACCTAAAGACGGCTGCTTGCGTTGTGACCGAAACGTCGTGAGAATAATTTTATTATGTTTTATTTTTATTATTTTATTATTTTCCTTCTACGTGACTTTACCGAAAGAACCAAGAAGATGAATCCCTGCAGTCACGAAAGCTTTAAATCGAAATATAAACTACTATTTAAAAAATGTACATGTAAGGCCCACTGAGCGATAGAGCTCTTCAGAAGCGACCTGGCCCCAAATGATAGCTCACGAAGTGGTTCATCACGTGGGAATTTATAGCAGCTCAATACTCTAAACGCACGTGTGAAAAACTGGAGGACCCAGGGAAAAATCTATGAGACCAAGGAAAGAGACATGAAAACTCCAATGTATAAGGTCGTCAGTGTTGGGATCAAATTCCCGACCTTCGGTATACTAGGCGAGATAGTTAACATCTTGCCACCCCTATGAGGACCAACACTGATTTGCAGGGCAACTATTTCAGAGTGAGACCAGTTGATATTAATCAGTGTTGCGATTAATTTCTGTCGTCAATGCACACGTGGCAGGTCTTACAGAAGTGGTGGTGAATACACAAGAATGTCATTAATACGCGTATGAGACCTCGTATTTATTTTAGCTTCCATAATAGGAACACTGAAGGTAGCGCATCCAAGAGGAGGTCCACAAAGTAGGAAGCAGAGATGACATCGGCTCGTGAGCAGGCGCTGGTGGATTGTTGCATCGCGGCATCAAGAGATGTGGCAACGGCTTGGGGAGGCCTTCATCCATCAGTGGATAGATCATGGCTGATGATAATCATGATTACCGTGTACATTGTTATTGCTGTTATTGTAAGGTTTATTTAAAAATGCAATTCCAATAACATTTAGTTTATAATCACAATGAAACAAACTTAATGGGAATCTGTTAAAGAATAGGAAATATAATTCATTTAACTGAGAAAATATGAGCTGGGCTTCCAAATGGCAGTCACTGGAGCTGTGATGCGAATCAATGAGTGGAGCTGTGTTCACAAGCCCAGTGGAAGCGAGCTCTCATTCAGCAGCCTCCCTCTGCTGCTGCTGCTGGTGAGAGGGCTCTGTGCCAATAGCGACACTGGAGACTCATCGCTCACCTGCAGGAACGCGAGCGAGTCCCTCTCCTGCGCTAGGGCCTGCAGGCGAGTGGCTGCTGCCTGGAGCTCGCTGATCTCGCGCTGGTAGCGAGCGATCTCCTTCTCGATCTGGGACAGCAGCTTGTGCCCTTTCTTCTCCACTTGCTCTAAAGCCGCCTTCTCCTCCACATCCAACGCTGCTCTCGCGCGGGTGAATCTGACCGAGATTGAGGCCTTTTCAACTGTCATGGATTCCTGCAAAGAGAAATGAATACCATCTCTGTTCATTAAATTCTGGTCCTCTGTGAAATGACATTCAGGTCGGTGTGAGCTGAGTACAACTGTGAACGTGTCCAGACAGTGATATGAGTCTGCAGCACTGAGGCCTCCTTCTACTTCTGCCTCTGATAACGTCACTGTGCATTTTCAGTACAACACGATTCGCCTTAACTGGCGGGGGCTGTTTGACAATGACATAATAAAATACCATCATGAGTACATTTAGCTTCCGTGGCATTCTCATTGTGCAAGGCTATCAGGACTATGCTTTGTTTACCTTCGCATGAAGCAAAGGGAAGTCTGTAATTTGCCTTCAGCATGTAGAGCCTGAATGAAATGGGAAGCTAGGCCAATTCCTCTTTAAATGGATGTATTGTGAGAGAAAAACCACATATGTATGGATGAAGAGAGGGGATCATGAAACCACTTGCTATACAGCCACCTGGCCACCCTAAATCCTGATTGGTTTCAGAAAAATGGTGTACAACAGCCTTTCCCACCTGATGACGGATGCTTGTGTTGCGCCTGAAACTTCGTGATTTATTTTATTTTATACCTAAGTGGCTTTACCGAAATAACCAAAGAGTATAGTCTGTGTGTGATCCACCAACTCTGCTACCAGATAATTGGATAAGAGGTACGTACCACCTCATCTGACCACTATAGTTCGCAGTCGTTGATGTGGTAAACTGTAAGGTGATATGGGAATCTTGAATTTCCACCACTGATTGTGTTTCTCAGCGGAGATGAGAACCACAACTTTTCTCATCCTGATTATTGAGGTGTATTAACCGGTTTGTCTTTAGTCAAAAAATGTGTTTAGAGCAAATGGAAGTCCACGTGAATGAATGGAGTTGTCCTCCATCACAAACCCTACCCCGGACTTGGTACCTGCACGACCTTGCGAGCGGCCTCCATCCGCCTCACGAACTCCTCCGCCTCCTTCCTCTTCTCCTCCACCGCCTGCGTCTCCTCTCCCACTTGTTTCTTTGAGAGACGTCACCAGGGGAGACTCCACTCACTCTCTGAGCGTCCTCTCTCACCCCAACTCCACGTAAATCCCTCCACAGTGACGGGAGCAGTAGCTCCGGTGCAGCGATGGAGGCTGGGGGAGCAAGCGCTGCAGGGAACTAATTTCACGAGGAGCTCAAATGTGTGCAGGGCTTCCTAAGTTGTGGGTGGAGCTACCTAAGCAGTGGACAGAGCTACCTAAGCAGTGGGTGGGGCTACCTGAGCAGTGGGCAGGGCTACTGGAGTAGTGGGCGGGGCTACCTGGGTAATGAGCGGGGATATCAGAGTGGTGGGTGGGGCTACCCGAGTGGGGGGTGGGGCTATCCGAGTCGTGGGCGGCGCTATCTGAGAAGTGGGTGGACAAGGCACCAGAATGGTGAGATGTTATCTGCCTTGCCTGCGAAATAGGAGGTCGTGGGTTCGAACCCGGCCCTGATGCTTGTGTAGTGTAGTAGAACGACACTACTGTATTGGCTCGGTGTGGGGGCTGTGTGATGCCGCCGCCGCGAAGCCGCTCGGCGGGCGCCCCCATCTACGACCTCGCCACCACCAAGCGACGGGGCCAACCCCACTTCCCCCTCACCACCTCCCACATAAACACTCCCTCACGCATTTCCCCCCCCCCCCCCCCCCATAGAGCTCCGAGGGGAGGTCACCTGGCTGGCCGGTTTTTACCCGAAAGCCCTCATAGGGACAATCTTCACAGTTTCCTGCGGCCAGGGAATTGGGCGGCCTCCCCCGATGCTGGTTCGCACTGCGGCGCTGTGACCAGGTTGAGATTGTATGGTCACGGCGAGGGCTGTCCAGCCACCACGGTTGAAACGCACCCCCCCACACACACACGTATCAACAAGGCCGGCAGGGGGGCCACAGCCACGAACTAATGGGAAGCCAGAGGGGGGGGGCAGCTGATTGGCGTGGCGGAGTGCTCGGGAACCGCCGGCGCGAAGCAGCCCACAGCGAGGCTTTGTTACGGAAACCGCGGCTGATTGGCATAACAAAGGCGCCCGCAAGCCGCCGCGGCCGGCGTGCGCCCATTTTTAGGGAAACATGGGAATGCGGCTTAACGGGCGTGGCGACCTGATTGGCCAAGAAGGCTCTCGAGTCGGCATCCCTTGATGTAGGGAGACGATAAAAGGGGGGCGCAGCCAGGTAGAGGCCTTTTACTCCAAGAAGTCAGCGCTCGTCACGGCTTCCAGTTCGGCCACCCGAACGTCCGTGAGACGCGTCGAGGTGAGCAGCGAGGAGGCCAACGGAACGCCAAGCGCATCAAACCGTGAGTAAAGAGGTGAAAGCGTATTATAAGTAGATAAATCGGGAATAGACCCTTGGGCGTTAGCGTAGGTCAGCCTTATCGATCCACACTGATTTAACAGCAAATCGCAGGTAGCCAATAATAAATCATTAAGAACTAATCGTAACCTCGTGTGGTCTCGATTAGAAGTGTGAACGCGCGCGCGGCTGTGTGTGCGTACGCTCGCGGTGTGTGTAATCAGTGCTCCACCGATGTGCGCTCGTAACGTGGGTATTCGGTGTTGAGACGAGTGCTGCGTGGGGCTGTGTAAAGAGGGAGTGTGAACGGGTGCGGTGCGGTGTGTGCGTATGCTCGCGGCGTGTGTAATCAGTGCTCCAAAGGTGTGCGATCGTAACGTGGGTATTCGGTGTTGAGACGAGTGCTGCGTGGGGCTGTGTAAAGAGGGAGTGTGTACGTACGCCCGCAGCGTGTAAGTGCTGTGCGGGGCTGCGTGAGGGGAGGCATTGCGTTTGATTGAAGGAGAGGCAACGCCGTGTTAACGGGCATACAGGAGCCGGCGACGAGCCATGCCCTTCACGCAAACCCAAAGAGGGGGGACCCAGGGAGGGGAACCATCAGACGATAGTCCTTGCCCCGTGAGCGATGAGCCCAGCGGTAGCCGGGGCGGTTTGCACAGCAGCGAGGGGTCGGGGAGTGGCGAGACCCCTGCAGTCGGGATACAGCCGGGAGAGATCTCGGGGGCCAGCGACCCTCACAGCTGTCGGCAGGTGTCACGGGGGTCGTGTCGGGCCGTGACACTCTGCGTGAACCCAACAGGACACGTGACCGGATGAAGGGGGGCCAGGGGCCTCAGGGGAGAATGTGGCCTGGGGCGGAGCCGGCTACGCCAGAGTGGTTATAAGCGGGGCGTGGACGGCAAGCTGTGCTGTTCTGGGCTGTTCTGCTGGGTCATCTCTGGGATGAAGCTCTCCGGTAGCCGCGAGTGGACCAGGCAGCATGTTGGACTGTCCTAGTCCAGTGATGTAGTATCCCCGTGTGTTGGTTAAGTTAGGAAAGGTGGCTACCACCTTAATTCGTTATGTTAAGTGTTAATTGTAATGTTACCTAATAAATAGTGTTGCCTCCAAAGTTCTAGTGTGCGCCTGAATTTAACCCACTACACCTGTGTAGAGAGGTTCCGACTGACATACTCGGAGACGGAGGTAAGTTAAGGGCTTTCGCCAGGGTTTATTAAAGCTCATCAACTCCCAGGGGCTAGGGGTCCTACTCTGAGTCTGGGTCCCTGCCGGCTAGCTCCGGTCTCTCTCTCTCGTGTCGGATCGTGGACTCTGCCGACTCCACCGACCGAAGAGAGAAGCACCTCTACGGCTACCACCGGCTTCTCCCCAGACTCCCTATTCGATCCCTCTCTCTACCCCTGGATCCCTCTTTACCCTGCTTACTCTACTCGTTCCCACAGTGACCCCGCTTACGTCACGGGGTATCCCTTAAGTACCCTAGGAGACGGGACGTCATCGCACTGAACGGTACACCTGACGTCACGTCCCCATTTTACTCCTCTACATTACCCCCCCCAGTGAAAAAAAAAATGCAGCCGACTCAGCTGTAAATGATATAAAAGTAGAGGAGTCCCAGAACCACAAACCAACATATTCACAACCAACCGACAACATCCAGGCAGCATGACAACAATCAATCAAATTTAAAAACCTTGAAACTCTCATCACGCGCTGCCATCAATACAAAGGCGGAATCCCGATGGCCCAGACAATACACACCAACAAACAACAATTGAGAAGCCCAGACAAACCACAACAAAACCGACAATTGGGCAGTCTAGACAAAACACGCCAACATAACACAATTTGGCGATGAGGGCTGGAGGCCGCCGGCAGCGGTCCCACAGGCCGTCAACAGAGCGCACGCCTCCCCATGTGGCACGAATCGCCAGGGCAGGCACCGCGCCAGCTGGTGACAGGCCCCGGGAGAGCTGCAGCAGCCCAGCAGCCCAACGCTGCTCCTGCCAGGCACGCGCCGGCCCGAGTGGCGGCTCCTGCTGCCCATCCCGTGGCGAGATGCAGAGCCGCTGCGTCGGCATGGCAACGCCCAGGCACCATGAGGTGCGGGGCCGCGGCGTCGCCGGCGGCCCCCACCACGATCGCGGCAAAATAGCAACCTGGTGCGGCGTCGCTGGCGGCAAAACCTGCATGCACAGCGAGGTGCGGTGCCCCGGCGTGACCCTCGGCCCACCCCGCGGCCGCGGCGACGTGTGGAGCCGCGGTGGCGGGCGCGCCAAATCCCGCAGGCACGGCGACGCGCGGAACCGCGTCAACTTCCATGCGCGGCGTCGTGCGGAGCTGCGGCAGCGATGCACGGGGCCGCGGCAACACCCGCAGCGTACCCCGCCTGCGCGGCGATGCCCGGAACCACGGCAGCAACCTCGGCAACTCCTGTGGCGCGGCGAGGTGCGGAGCCCCGGACTCTGGGGCTCCCCCGGCGGGTGCAGCATGGTGTGGAGCTGTGGCCTCACTGACGGCAGCCCCCGCGCGCGTGGCTTGCTGCGAAGTCGCGGCGGCACCCGCGGTGGAGAACGGCGTCGCGGTCGCCATGGCAGCCATGGCGCCGACGTGCGGCGTCGCATGAACAATGGCTGCTGCCTGTCGCGTCGCAGCCAAAATGGCGGCCGCCTGAGGCGCCCAACCAATATGGCCACCGGTGGCGACATCGCAGGCAAAATGGCGGC